CAACAGTCCATGTTTACCTAACTTGACGAGTGTATCTACCCGACTCGTCGAGTTCCTTCATTTATCAGAAAATCGTGAAAAACCCCAACTAACTCGCTGAGTTTTCTCATCAAGTCGCCGAGTTCGCTCAGTATCCAGCAAGCGGGAAAAACCCGTTCCAACTTGTCGATTTGGCAAGGCAACTCGTCGAGTTTCTCCTAGTCTTATAGCCTTCAGACACTTTTAGGCGAAACCAAAGCTCCAAACTGTAGATCTAGTCCCTTAGGACTGAAATACCACGTAAAGTTGCTAACTTTACGTGCATGCATGACATTAAGGGGTTAAACACTCACATAAAGCATGTTATGGGACATAGAGCATGAAGTAGGGCCAAGACTTGATAAAGTTGGCAACTTTAAGTCCCTAAGGCCCTAAGACACCCAGATCTGAGGTTATAACATCAGAATATGCTCAAACCGAATTATGGTCCCAAAACAAGCTAATAATGGCCCTAAACTTCCAAAAGAAGAGATCTAACAAAGAGGTGATCAATGTATCAGCTTTATACCTTCTAATGGTTGCAACAACACTGAAAATTCCATATCCAAGGCTTCTCCCTTCAACCTTGCACCAACAACTTCAACTCCTTCAAGAAAAACACCCAAGAACACTCTTTGAACTCTCACACACCAGAAATGGAAGATGAGGCGCGATTTAGGGTTTCTCTGGACTGAGGGGACGATGAGGTAGGCCAGCCATAAGCCATAATGTTCTTTAAATAGGATGCAAACCCTAAAAATTAGGGTTTCATGTTCTGACTCCAATTCGTCGAGTTGGGGTCCTCCAACTCGTCGAGTAGACTTTGTAACTCACGCGACCTCCTTGGTTTCTACACGATGAGTTGGGGCCTCCCAACTCGTCGAGTAGATCTTATAACATGCATAAAGCCCTAAAATTTCATACCTGAGAATCGGGGTGTTACAAAATCTCTATATTATTGATACATTAAAGATAAATCTTATTGTAATGAAAGATAAAGAAGAGATTTAGACAGATAATAGAAAAGAGAGATGGGACATGAGAGAGAAAGTAATTGTGTTATTACTCAAAAACTCCATAATATTTCACAATGAATCGATGATAATTAATAAAATTATTGATTATACACAAACCTAATCTATTTTAATAAATAGAGATCTTTTTTGCAACATGTCATACTTTCATTCATTTTGTCACATGTCGTTTTGTGGTTATTTTAAATATTTTTTTCCACATGACATATTATTATTATTTTTTCATTTTATTAAATTTCATATAATATTGATATATAACAATCGTAATAAATTTCATAATAAATGGATATAAATTCATTAATGAAGACTTTGCTTCTAATTTTAAATTCTTAAATTAGTTTAATGACATCATTTTTACTACAATTCATTAGTTAGTACTTATGATATGGTAAATTCAATTTTGACTTTGATTTTATGCTATGAAGAAACAAGTTTCCATAACGACATAATTTACTACAAGTTATATCCAATTATAACATCTTTACTTTTTTTTAACGATTTAAGAGTTGTAAACTATATTAATGTTTTAATACTAACATATTTTTTTAATTTTCCTTTACTTTTAAACTATATTCATTGCTCAAAATGGAAACAAAGTATTAGGCTTAGACAATGTTGTAAAAATATTGACTAGGTCCCGATTAATCTCCGATTAATCCGTAGGCATTAATCGACCGATTAGAGGGCGCCTAACGATTAATCAATGCATACACAATGAGTGAACAATAGAAGCCAATGAAATTTGAACACTTTGAAGAAGTTATATCTCAATGGAAACTATTTGAGGTATGATTAGTGTTGTATTAATCATATTAACATATATTGTTTTGATATTAGTGGTATTCATGAACTTTTATATGATATTTGTCATATTAAATTTTTAAAAATTCAACAAGTTAGCAATTAATGGTCCTCGATTAATCTCCGCCTAACATTAATCCCTTAACCTCATTCCACCGACTATCTAACGCCGATCGATTTTTACAACCTTGGATTTAGATATACATGAAATGCAAAAATGTTATATGTAATTTTAAAAACTTTAATGTCTCATTTCTTTTATTTAAAAATGAGATATTGAGTAAACTAACCATTATAAATGAGGCTTTTAAAAAAATAATAAATAGTTTTCGGTTTTAATGACCACTTACTCACGAATGCCTTATTCCGAATTTGATATTTAAACTTTGGAGTTCTTTTTTTCAATTTTTTCCAAAGAACTGTCTTTGTTTATGTCCATTTCGAAATGTTTAATGTCATAGTTTTTCAATGGAATGTCTTATTCTATGCATTAATAATATATATAGTTCACATTTATTATATTTATTTAACTTTTTACTATATTTAAATAAAAAATGAAATTTTTGCTCAAAATTTTGGAACCGCTCATCGGATTTTTTCTTGAAAGTTCGGAGTTTTTGAGACAACTGATGTTCACTCATGGGTAGTTGTATGATTTCTATGCTACCAAGTTTAAGTTTTTGGTGTTATTCCGATTATAGAGCGAAGTCATAGATACAATACGTTGAGTATTGTTGAGGCTGATTTCATTCAAAGTCAAGTGACAGAAATGGAGATTCAGGAGGCGGTTTGGTCATGTGGCAGTGATTGTACTCCAGGGCATGATGGATTTTCTTTCACGTTTATTAAAAAAAATTGGGAAATTCTTAAATTCGATGTGTTTGGATTTGTTCAAGAGTTCTTCGATAATAGTTTCATTCCTATAGGATGCAATTCAGCCTTCATAACTCTAATTCCGAAGGTCGATAATCCGCTTTTAGTAATGAATTATCGTCTGATTAGTCTTATTGGAGTCCAGTATAAAATTATTGCCAAATTACTAGCTAATAGGCTAACAAAGGTGGTAGATAGGATCGTTAGTCCGGAACAATCCGCTTTTATTAAAGGAAGGCAAATTCTTGACGACCCTTTAATGGTAAGTGAAATTGTCAAATGGTATAAGAGGAAAAAGCGGAAGTTAATGATTTTTAAGTAGATTTCGAAAAGGCATATGATTCTCTTAGTTGGGAGTACCTTGATCGAGTGATGTATTTTTTGGGTTTTCCGGATAAATGGCGTAGTTAGATACGGGCTTGTTTGGTGTCAGCGAGATCTTCTGTTTTAATTAACGGGTCAGCCACACAGGAGTTCAATTTGGAGAAAGGCTTAGACAATGTGATCCTCTATCCCTGTTTCTTTTCATCATTTCTATGGAGGGATTGCATGTCATTTTGAAAGATGCAGTGGCGAGCGGTTTGTTTAGAGCTACTAAAATTGGGTAATCTTTGGATGCGAATGTCGTATTTATTTTATGCTGATGATGTTTTATTTATGGGAGAGTGGGATAAATCTTTCTAAGTCGAATTTGGTGGGGGTCGATATTGAGAGCCAAACTTGTGAGGCTTTATTGAATTTGACAGGTTGTAGTTTGGCTTCCTTACCTTTTGTTTACTTAGGGTTACCTATTGGTGAGAATATGAATCGAGTTGCTGGTTGGAGGGTAATTGTGGATCGGTTCATGAAAAGGTTGATAGATGGAAGCTTCGAATGCTTTCAATTGGTGGACGATTAACGTTATTAAAGTCTATGTTGCGCAATTTGGGTATATATTACATGTCTTTGTTTAAAATACCAGTTTAGATTGTCAAAATTTTGGAAACATTAGAGCACAAATTTTATGTGGGGGGGGGGGGTGATTCCAATGAGAAGAAGATAAGTTAGGTGAAATGGGACTTAATTCTTAATTCAAAGGATAATGGTGGTTTGGGAGAGGGTTCTTTAACAGCCCTTAACAATGCTCTTTTGTATAAATGGAGATGGAGATTTTACATTAATCTTCTCTTTCTGCAAGGGATGCAAAAAGAGAAGACTCTTGCAATTGTTATGACTATGTTATGGGTCTTATGGGGTTATAGAAATGTGATGGTCTTTCACACTAAAAAGTATTGAAAAGATACTCTTGTTGACACTGTTAAATTATATTCATTTAATTAATATTGTGTTAGGAACCGTAAAATGTCTAGGGATCGGAATGTTTGGCTTCAATTCCCTATGAACTTGTCATTGGTTTGCTAGCTCCTTGCTAGCTTTTTGTTTGTTTATTCTAATAAATGTTGTTTAAAAAAAATTGTACAATTCATTTTCACGAGTTAAAAACAGAGATGAACTAAAAATATTAATTTTTGATAATTATAACAAGAATAAGAAATCTATGTTAAAATATTTATTTATTTATTATTTCTTTAAAATATATCAATAGTTTTTTTATTAATACAGATTAAAGTACTTACTTATCAATAGTTTTTTTATTAATAGTTTTTTTATTTTCAAATTTTAGTTTGAAAATGTAATGTTTAGATCTTTACCTGTTAATTTTTTTACAAACAAATTTTAAATTTAAATAAACAGATTGATAAAGCTTTTCAAAGTTAAGATAATATGTACAACTCAAACATTATGAAATCAAACCATCGATGATCAACAAAGAATTAATAACAAATTTGAAATCTCTAGTAAAGAAATTAATTGTCAAACCTCAATTCTACCAATTGTAATACTAAAATAAAACCTAATATCCTAACAAATAAAATAAAATAAAAAAGTCAAAACAATTTTAATTATGCATTAAAAGTAATATCCCATCAGTTTATTGCGATATGACCAAATTTATGTCCATTTAATGATTTATTACTATTTATTTAACCTTTAGTTATCAATTAAAATAAATACCTTGATAATGAAACGGCTTAATCCATCTTCCTTATCAATTGTTTCTTCAAATTCGAATTAGAAAGATCATTATCAACTACGAAATATCCTCAATTTTCAAACGGCTAGTACTCACTCAAACCCTACGACTCTGACGTGGCAATTGACAGCTTGGTGATACTCCAAACCCTAGCACCTAATCTAACTTCTATAAATTGGAGCGTTACCACTTGCAAAACCATACGTGGAAAAAATCAATCTCATAATTTTTTTGGTTTCATTCCTCATCTTCGATCTTCCATTACTATTATTATTTTGACAAAATGAGTTCGAAATTTTTGTTTTTGTGTTTGACTACTTGTCTGATATTGTTCTCGATGAATGTTTTTGGCGCCGAAGCAACAGAGTTTTTGGTTGGTGGAAACAAGAATTCGTGGCGTATCCATACTTCTCCTAACGAGTTGAATGAATGGGCTGAAAAAGAACGGTTTAGGATCGGAGATTCACTTGGTAATCCTTTTTCTTTCATGTTTTCCATCCAAAAGTCAATTGTTATTAGCAATATTTGGTAGAGTAGTGTAATCAATGCGATATCATATTATGATCAAGCTGATATTTCACCTTATACTATGTAATTTGTATTTATTTCATTATCATATAGTTCTAAATTCGGGATAAGACTTTAAACGCCATTAATGGTTATATTTATTATTATGAATTTCAGTATTCAAATACGATTCAAAGATCGATTCAGTGTTACGAGTGGATGAAGAAGACTACAAAAAATGCAATAAATCAAACCCCAGCAAGTCGTACAATGATGGTAACACAAAAATCAAGCTTGATGAAGCAGGACCTTTCTTTTTCATTAGCGGTGCTAATGGGAATTGCGAGAAGGGTGAGAAGCTTGAGGTTAAGGTTTTATCGCAGAAACATGCAGGCTCGATTGGTGGACCATCTCCTTCGCAAGCTCCTAAACCATCTCCGAAAGTATTACCACGTCCAGTACTTACTCCTGCAAATGCTCCTCCTTCTCCGGCCATTACTCCAGCAACTGCTCCAACAGCCAGTACGGCGTCATCCAATGCTTGGGTGATTGGTGTTTCCACCATGGCTGTTATGGCTACCTTGTTTGTTGTTGCTATGGTTTGAGGAAAATTTTCAAGATTTTGTTTTAATAGTTTCGGTTTTTATTTTAAGTTCTAGATATATTTTGGGGTGAATTACACTTTGCATTGTGGTTGGTTTGTTTCTAGTACTAATTGCGATTTATTTTCTTCTATGTTTGTTACACGTTTTTTGTTTAATCTTTTTAATTTAAATTTAAATTCATGAATACGCTTAATTTCTTATAACGAAAGTATTTTTACTTCATCAAGGAATTTCTTGTGTACTTTGACATCACCGTGGCGTAAAAAGTATACATATCTCGATTTCTTCTCATGGTCATCAAAAGAGCATGCATATCGGTCTCATGATCTCCTATAAGAGCGCGAAATATGGCCTTATGGAATTGATTATATGAACAATATCAAGTAAGAAATATTTTTTAGAAATGATGTTTCGGGTGTTTGGGATTATTTATGTAAAACAACTTCTTTTTAATGCTTATTCATTTCCAGAATGTACTCTATCATCAATCTTACTACATAAAGAAATTGGAATTTGGGGATTAACCCATACCCAAAAAAAAAAAAAAAAAAAAAAGACAAAATTGCAAGAATGGTCCCTGTGGTTAGGTCGAAATTGCCACTTTGGGCCAAACAGGTTTGGACTAGCACTCATGGTCCAATGGTTTTCATTTTCTTGCCACTTTGGTCCAATTACTTTAAATTTTTTTGTAATGACGATTTTGTCCTTGGTTTTGCTTTTTCAGTTTATTTATTTATTTATACAGTTTAATATTTAAAAGAAAAATAAAAAAGAAAATATATCTCTCTCTCTCTCTCTCTTAACAAAAAACAGTTAACCCGGTCATTTCTCACCATCTCTTCCAACGAAGAAAGGAGGCTGCCGACCACCACCTTCGCAGCCCTTCCCTGCCTCCCTCCGGTCGCGTAGCACCACCAAACACTCATCCCTTCACCCACGGTTCCGTTGTTCTCAGCTCCGACAAATTGACCATCCCAGCTCCGACAAATCGACCAAGCCACCAAGAAATGAAAACCCAAGCCGCCAATAAACCCTAACTTCATAGTTTGCATCGGCTCAACCATCGTCTTCGTCGAGTTGCTAGGGTTTGCAGTGGCAGGGAAGGGTTTCAAAGACGAAGATTGGAAAGGCATCAAAACCCCCCACGGGTTTTCAACGTCATCATGTTCGTCGTAACAGGTGTAGATCAGCATCGTCCTACCAGATCTGCAACATTGTCGGATCTGTGGCTATTTGAAGGTGAAGATCCGTTGAACACCCTATATTACCAGATCTCCACCTCGAGCGTAGGAAGCCACCGCCGATAACTACTATGTCGTCGCTGCCTTGCTCTCACCTTCACCAGTTTAGGGTTTGCAAACCCTAGCTCCGTCCGACCCCTTTCATTAAAAACCCTAGCTTCGTTTGGAGAAGCTCCAACGGTCGTATCGTCGCCGCCACCCTTCTTTTGTTTTCAGATCAACAAACACTTTTGATACATTTTGACTGGTAGTGGTGGTTGTAGCCTTCTCAGTCTAGATCTGTAGCTCGATACGACTTTCATATGATGCTAGGGTGTTAGTGGAGGTGTTCACAGGTGTTGTTGTCGACGTTGATCAATGGTGGTGGTGGAGTTGATCGGTGGTCATAGGTGTGGCGGCGATGACCGGTGGTTTTGGAGGATTCTAGCAAAACGAGGTAAGGAATAGAGAGAGATAGAAAGAGAGAGAGAGAGAGAGAGAGAGAGAGAGAGAGAGAGGTATTTTCTATTTTAGAGAGAGAGATAGGTATTTTTTTTGTTTTTCTTTTAAATATTAAACTATATAAATAAATAAATAAATAACTGAAAAGCAAAACTAATGGCAAAATCGTCATTACAAAAAAGTTTAAAGTAAATTGGACCAAAGTGTCATGAAAATGAAAACCGTTGGACCATGAGTGCTAGTCCAACTGTTTGGCCCAAAGTGGCAATTTCGACCTAACCACAGGGACCATTCTTGCAATTTAGTCAAAAAAAAATCATGGAGAATGAAGGAGATTATATACCTCTCAAGTTGAATTGACAATTATATCGTCTTGTTTTTCGTATAACTAATAGAAAAGATATTTTATTTATAGAAAAATATATGAAAATAAAACTATCAAAACTTGATAAAAAATTATAAATAAATAAATAATATTTTATAAATTATTTAGAATTAACTCATAATAATAAAAAAAACATAATAAATAATAACAAAAAATAATAATATTTATCTAAAAATAATTATTTATCATAAAAAGAATAATAACAGATATTAATAATAAAATATAAAATGGTCGGCCCTAACTTCAGCCAAACAACATCCTAATTAACCCCCCCCCCCCCCCCCCCGCGGAGAGAGAGAGAGAGAGAGAGAGAGAGAGAGAGAGAGAGACGGATTATGAAAAATCATCATATACAAGATTCGTATGAAATCTTGTCTACTTTTTAGGGACACTAAAACCATGTCAATCAAAGTTACGGTTCAAGAGTTATAAATCGGGGTCGGATTATGAAAAATCATCACATACAAGATTCGTATGAAATCTTGTCTACTTTTTAGGGACACCAAATGTGACATCCCCATTTTAAAGGCCAGAAAAAACCGATTTTGTTTATGCTTTATAAAAATCAGAGTACTTATTTTAATAAAAATGTTGCGGAATTTGTTCCCAGTAAAACATGATAAATACGTTATCAAAGCATTTCCGAAGAAATGTATTTTTATTCATTTTCAAAACCTTGGGATGTCATCGTCAATACAGAAACATAAGCATAAACAGAACTTACATTCATTTACACTAGTAATCTACATCTTTTTTAAATCTCTCAGTGTAAAGTAGGTTCATATCGACACATGTGATACAAATAAGCTTGAGTGGGTCAGGTTGGAAAACCTGGTGAGTACATAGGGTTTTCAACCCACAATAATATAATCATTATGTTTAATCATCAAACAATCAATCAACCCAATTATCCATCCCCATTATCTTATTTACTCTTAAGGATCTACCCTAAGAATCAGCTATTCATCGTTCATTCATTCCAAAGGAATATCCTAAGGAATAGGCACGAAATCTATCGTTGCTAATGACACATCTGTCAAGCACAGCTGCTAATATTATCACTTAGGCGCAGCTGCCAAAATTGTGACATTCTTTACGGGGCACATCTGTCGGTATAGTCCTTTAACAGTACGAGAAGATTATACTGTTAAATGTCCGCGTAAAATTCATAACTTCTACATACGGTCTCCGTTTTCGTCTGTCTTTTTACCGTTGAGTTCCTATTAATGAGATATTCAACTCTCATTTAGGTCGCGTAGGCCAAAAACCGCTCGATCTAAAATTCGGGTTACGGGTCGTGCACTCTTATGCCAAATCTTAGAAAATTCATAACTTTCTCATACGAAGTCAGATTTGGGCGTTCTTTTTTTTGTATGTTCTCGGTTTAACGTATACTACAACTTTTGGGGGGTGCTCCGGGCTTCCGCCTCGTGCTAGGCAGGTGCCCTAGGCTTTTTGGGGGGTTTGGGGGGGTTAGAGAGAGGTTCTAGAGAGAGAAAGAAGTGGGTAAAGGTGTGAGGAATGAGGATGCCCAAGCACCTCTATTTATAACGTTCGCATACGATCTCCGTTTTCGACATTCTTTATATCCACGCGTAGGTAAAAATAAGATCTACAACTTTCATTTTCCGTCGGCTAATTCTCGACCGATCTTAAATTTAACAGTACGACGAGATTATACTGTTAAATGTCCGCGTAAAATTCGTAACTTCTACATACGGTCTCCGTTTTCTTCTGTATTTTTACCGTTGAGTTCCTATTAATGAGATCTTCAACTCTCATTTAGGTCGTGTAGGCCAAAAACCGCTCGATCTAAAATTCGAGTTTCGGGTCGTGCATTGTTATGCCAAATCTTAGAAAATTCATAACTTCCTCATACGAAGTCAGATTTGGGCGTTCGTTTTTTGTATGTTCTCAGTTTAACGTATACTAAAACTTTTGTTTAGATTTATAAGGCTAAAAATTCCTCCATCGTAAATTCACTATTTACGTCTCCCGGTGTCGTGCCGGTTTTGCCGAAAAACTTCAACCGGTCATAACTTATTCGTTATAACTCGGATTTCGGCGTTCTTTATATATACAGAACCCTTGTAACATATGCTACCACTTGGAAAAGGTTAATCCTTTTAAATAATCTTCCATCAAAAACTCATTTTTGATGCTTATTGTCTCTAAATTGACTAGCTTGGATCTGCGGACGTTACAATTATCTCCCCCTTAGGATGATTACGTCCCGGAATCATCAACGAAAAGGGCAGTATAATGACTCCATATGTTATCTCTTCATCCTAGGTAATAATCGTAACTTCTTTGTTCCTTCGAATGAGTATCTAACTCTTGGACTCCTTGTCTGCAGGCGGCGCTCGATCTTGCACTTTCTCCCTATCTCACGTAAGACTCCAAATTATGACCTTCAAGTCACAATCTCGATCCTCACTGGATACGAACTTAAGATAAGTTCTTT